ACGGTCTACTAAAGAAACAAATATCAACAGGCTGCCTTCTATCGTATGTCACCCATATTTGAAATAACGCAATAGAGAAACATGGAGAGTCAAGAGTTGTTGCGTTTGATATTTCTAAGGCCTTTGACGGTGTGTAGCATGAGGGTTTGCTGGCCAAACTTCGATGCTATGACTTGTCGAATCATTTTTGTGTATTTTTGGCTCCCTGAAAGACCGTTCCGTGAAAATAGCCGTCGATGGATAACTCTTGAATACTTTCACCATTAACGCTGGTGTTCCCCAGGGATCCATATTGTCTCCAACCCTCTTTTCATTGTATATCAACGACTCATTAGAAAAAACAAGAATTCAATATATTGCTTTGCTGACGACATCATACTTGTCCCGTCATTCCATTTGGATTTCAGAACATCGGCTGCGGATGCACATCTTCACCGGCAGCAGGAGGTTGCATATTTTAATGAAGATCTAGAAGTGATTTCGGATTGGGGTGGAAAAAACCAGGTTCAATTCAATGCCACGAAAACCCAGGCATCGGCTTTCTTCAAAAAGATAAATGTCTTCGAACCAGATATAATAATGTCAGGACATACAATTCCGCTTTTCTGCACCAATATGTCTTGGCACAATCATGTCGCTGGAACTGCGAACTCTGCTTCTCAAAAACTTGGAACACTGTGTTGAACCAGAAAAATACACACCTTAGCAACTTTTGATGCTTCATAAAGCTCAGACCAGACCTTCTTCGGAGTATTGTTCTCAAGAATGGAGCCGCGTCCCCAAATATACCCTGAAGCTGCTGGATTCCATCCAGAAACGAGCCATCCGCCTGATTGGAGAAGCGAACATAGTCTGGAACATCGAAGAAAGGTTGGAGATTCATCTGTCTTCTATATATATATATACTTCCACGGTGAGTTTTCAAGTGACTTGGCACATTTGATTCCACCAAGAGCGGTACATATCAGAAATACGAAAACGACTGTGGCCGCTCATCGTTATGAGGTTCAACTCAGTACACCTCGAACTTCACTGTTTAGGAACTGTTTCATTTGGAGAACTGCGTTCATGTGGAATAAACTTTCTGAGAACGTTTTTCCAACGAAATTCAATATCCAGCGATTCAAATCCAATGTGAATCGCTTCTTTCGCACAGGTATCGCTCTTAAGGATTTTCCTATAGCGCTTGTGTTTCATCCTTGAGAAAAAAGTTAGACAGTCATAAAGCGCGTCTCTCGACGCGCTTTTATGACTGTCGCGCGTCGAGAGATCGTAATTTTGTTATGATTTTGGAAGGTGATTTTAATAGATTCATTTTACGTCAGAGAAACGAACTGTCAACTTATACATGATTGGTTTTTGTTCGTCGAAAGCCAAAATTGAAAGTTTTCATGTCAACTAAGCATTTTTCTGAGAGATTTCATAAAAAGCGCTTTCCTGGAGTACTTCAAATATCCACTATTTCTGTTTTCTTTTTATGAAAGTCTCTATCATCAAAAGTAAGCGAGTCATGACGAACATGATGTTGGTCCAATTACAATACATTCAAGCATCATGTTGAAATGTGGATAACAACCACCGAGAGAAAAATTTTTAATGATCTGCTCGATTTGACATTTTTGTAACAAACCACCGTCCATATTACCCAAATATTATTACCTAAATGAAAGACTAACCACATGGAAGACTATACAATTATCTTTACCCAAATTACGACGAATCCCCAATTGCACATGCAGTCAGAATTCTGAGA